GGGGCTGATGTAACGGGCTCACCAGCTGTGGGAGGGATTGCGGTGGGATGGGACAGTTGGGGAGTCCGGCGGGCAAATAGGCGAGGTGGGGGGCGGAGAAGAGGTTGGGGAGATGAGATGGGGCAGACGGAGAGAAGAAATGGTTGAATTAATAGAGGAGGAAGAAGAGAGGTAGAGTTTTGTGTGGCAGTATGGGGGCAGGGGCAGAGGATACTCGGTGGGGTGAAAAGCTAGTTGGAGAGGAAGAAGGTGGAAGGGGCTGGACCACGGGAAGACTGTCATCTCTGGATTGGATCTTGCACGGGCTGGGAGGGGAGGCATGCCTGGCTGTTTGGGGGAGGGGTTCTCCTTCGCCTCCCTGATTTCATCAAACCACCGTATAAAGCCCTGGTCCTTGGGCTCTGCGTAGTGGGGACGAGGAGGGGGCGGGGCTGAAGTAGGGGGCAGGGAGGTGCCCTGAGGTTGGCACTGACCACGATTCCCCAGAGCTGGGGGAGGGTGGGGGTAGCAATCTGCACTGACACGGGGCTCCGGCTGCGGGACTAGGAGGCGGGGCGGGGTGCGGGCTGTTGGTTTTCCGGGGCGGGAGCCTGGAGGGACTGGCCCTGGAAGCTGGGTGTGGGATGTGCGCAGAGGGGGGTGTCGGGGTCCCTGGCGGACTGTAGATTTGGCAGTCTGTGACGCAGTTGTCTCATTTCTGCCCCGCAGGTGTGGCGGCTGGTACTCGGGGGAGCCGCTGCCTGCTGAAAGGGCTGCCCTGGAGGTCCCGCTCTTTGCCGGGGCTGGGGCGTGTGGGGATGGTGGAGGAGGAGGGGCGCGACCTCTCTTGGAAGCCCGAGAAGGGCGCTTTAGGGGTTTCCTTCAGTGTCTTGCTCCAGTCGCCGGGTCTGAAGGGGAAAGGCGGTTCCACGGAATTCTGGGACTTGTAGTCTGAGCCGCGCCGGGCTCCGGTTGGGTTGGGTGCACGTGGGTAACTGTGGAAACGAGCCCCAGAATGCAGCGCGCTGCTCGGAGTCTCCCACTTCTGCTAACTAGTTTTATTCCTGGACCCCTTAGCACACACCCGGGAGGCGCTCCTGTCCATGTGGATCATTCACCAGAGCACCTGCCTTTTGGGGGTGGGGGGAGGGCAACCCACGTGCAGACTGCGTATTCACTTCTGAGTTTTTGATCCCTGAGTTCATCGCTTTCCTCTGTTGTTGGACTAATTTGTCCAGTAAAATGCTTAGACCTGTGCCGTACTGCACATGGCTTGTAGAAGCACAACGTGCAACATAATCCAAAGCAGCGTTTGTCGTTAGTTGCCGTGAAGATAGTGACTCCAGAGGAGTAGAACTGCCTCTGAGGATTTTCAAGGCCCCTAACCTTATGTACTTCTGGGCTTGGAACTGCTAACCTTTTTGCTTAACCCCTCTTAACACCCAGCCGCCAGGTGTTAGGTGTTAGGATGGAGCATTGATTGTGGCAACTGCAAAGCACTTAGTTAAAAAGGTCAGTCTTACCTAAATCTGGGAAGGAAATGGAGATCAGTGAGGATACTATCAACTGTGTTTCTGTTTTTTGAGCTGTTTGGAATTGTCCAAGGATAAGGAGAGTTTCCGAAAGACAATGGAAAGGGAGTGAATCTCTTTGAGGCATTTTATTGGAATTTGGAGTTTCCATTTAGAAAGCCAGCATAAAACGTGAGAGTGGGCAAAAGGAGTATCTTTTCTGTGCTCCGTGAAGCCTGGGAAGCAATGAGACTAGAGTGGAGGAAGGCAAACTGTAAAAAGAGGGCCTTGAGAACTTTAGGTGGTTTGGGGTTTAGCTTTAGGCTGTAATTCTCTCTGCCTCTTTATTGTGGTGCCGGGCGATGGCCTAACTACAAGGTGTGCAGTTCAAAACCCCACCAGTCTCTCATTAGGAGAGAGATGAGGCTGTCTGCTCTCCTGAAGATCTTTACAGCCTTGGAAACCCCGTATACGGTCACTATGTGTCAGCACTATTAGGAGCACAGCCACCCAAAGAAATGCTGGAATGCCCAGTAGGGAATTCAATATTGGAAATTTTACCAAGAAGAGGTAAAATTTGGAGACCTGGTTATGGATACTGAATATAATGAACTTGAATGCTTGATAGGGTTTTTTGTTCATAGTGGTTGAAAATTGGGCATTTCCCCCCAAATTGGTGATGTGGGGGAAAGATTTGTATTTGTTATATATTGCTTAAGTTTGTGGTAAAATATTCAGGAAACCCTTGTAATAGGTAAATATGGAATGTGACCATTTGAGAACATTTCCTTAATCCTGGAATTTGCCCTCCCACAAAGTAGTTTACAAAGAACAAACAAAAGCTATAATTGTGTTCAAGATGTTGTTTTTGAAGAAAATATTAGGCTAGTCACTTAACCCCCCCCCCTTTTTTCCCCTCCTTCATCTAAATGGACAGGCATGTTTTATATACCCAGTTTACTCCTTTACATCCCAACCCGCTAAACCAGCGGTTCTCAACCCATGGGTCTCAACCCCTTTGGGGTCGCCCAATTCATAACAGTAGCAATATTACAGTTAT